GTTGGCGGATGAGCTGGAGTTTTTGAAGACAGACATCTTTTTGTGGCTTTCTCTCCCTCAGTGTTCCTCACACAATCAAGTGGTGCTGAACCAGTAGATAGCATTCTTTGTCAATGTCGTCAACGACAGACAGCATCTTCCCATGTTGTGCCAATTGTGCCAAAGAGCTTCTAGTTGGTGGTTGTTCTGGGAGTTCTCTTCTTAAACTTTGCAGCCCTTTCTTCCCACTCTGCAAAGTAGAATTTTGCACTAAGGAGATGGTGGTCTGTTCCCGTTTGAAATTTTGAGACAACAGTGACATCGGTCAGGCAAAACCATTGATTGAATATGATGTGGTCAATTTCATTGTGGAACTGTCCACCAGGATACTCTCATGTCCAACATTTAGATTCAGCCTTCTGGAACTGCGAGTACTGTGTATTGTTTATAACCTAAAATTTTTTTATTTATTTTATAACAAAACTGTGTATTGTTTATAACCTAAATATTTTCCTTTGTGAGATCAAGAAACTTCCCCTAACTGGGCAAAGCCTGTTCTTAGACTTGCTGTCTCATTCATTCCCATGACCCCAGGATGATGTGATGTAGTGCAGTGGGGATTTCCGAGTAGCAGTCATACATGACCTAAGACAGAACTGGGAATGTCTTTTATCTGTCTGAGGATATGAGATTTTCCTCAAATGACCTTGAGATTTATAGCATCAAACAGGTACCAAATGTTATATTCATGGATCTTTGGTTTTTTTTCCCCAAGGTTTGGAACAAAAGGAGAAGGGACAGAAAAACAAAGCACAAAACCACTTCTGAAAACAGTGTTTCTCTAATAAATAAATATCTGTTTTAAATCTACCCTTATGTATGGATGACTAATATCAGAAACTTTCTTAAAGGTAGAAGATTACCTTTTTAAAGGTGGAGGACAAATGATAGGCAAAGATATAAAGGCCTTTCTGGGAATCATTGAGTTAAAGGTTCAGAATACCAGCTCAGTCCATTTCTAATTTGTTATTAGACTAGTACAAACTGTTGTGGAAGAATTTAGAAACACTGAGCTAACATACCAAAATCAGCCAACTGGATAAATATTCAAAAATATTTTTTTTCTGAATAGAAATCTTTTTCTGTTTTCTTTGAAAATTTTATTTCATCAGTATATTTTTTAAAGTTATAACAGAAAACTAAGTCAGTTTTAAGCACAGGATTAATTTGTTGTATTAAAAATAAATTAATACTACCTAAACTATTACAAGCAGTACCCTAAGAGGTTGGAAAATGTCAACACATAAAATGCTGATAATAGCAGTCATGCTGTTTGCTATTTTTTAAATATAATATTCTTACCTTTAAGGGAGGCTGGAGAGATAAGCACAGCAGTAGGGCATTTACATTGTGTGCAGCCAACCTGGCTGAGCCAGGTTTGATTCCTCTGCCCCTCTTGGAGAGCCCGGCAAGCTACCGAGAGTATCTTGCCCATGCGGCAACCACCTGATGTATTCAGTAAGCCAAACACAGTAATAACAAGTCTCAAAATAGAGACGTTACTGGGCCCACTCGAGCAAATCGATGAACAATGGGAGGATAGTGTGACAATGTGACCTTTAAGGGAAGAAGAAATAGTACAGTGAGTGATTAAGCTACCTATCTTGCTTGCAGCTGATTTGGGTTTAAGCCCCAGAACTGCATATGGTTCCTCAGAGTCTTGCCAGGAATTATTACAGAGCCACTGTTAAGCCCTTAACAGTGCCAGGTGTGCCCTTCCCATCAACATTAGCAAACTAAAGCCCCAGAGATGTTAAATTTCTTACCCAATATCAAAAGAATCTTTCAAAAATCAAGGACTTAGAACCAGATCATCAAGATTTTTATCACATTGCTGTAAGTCATGTTTAGGAAAACAATGAAATTGACAGAAATCTAAAGACCCCATGAAAACAATGATCCCATTGGATTAAAAACTATGTACTCCTTCCCATTTTTATTTGTCATGATCATGACACACAGAAAAAAACAAGATTTCATAAAAATCTTAGAAAGACTTACTCAGAGAAAACATTTACTGCTAAGGTTTGTGTTTGGTAATGAGAAATGTTTCTAATAGAATATTCCACTAAGTAACATTATCAGCATCATACCTACTTAGAACAAAAGCAGCCCCCCAAAGGGACAAATGTCAAAGTGTTAGGTAATTCCCAGAGGGCAAAGAAATGGCCAGTGCCAGATGCCAGATATCCAGGCCTAATTTCACCATATCCAATCCTGGTGAAGCACCTGTTTGCAGGATTGTCAGTGGTCACCGATCATTTGAGACAGCCATCTCAAACTCACAACAGAAATTAGCCAAATGATCACAGATCCTTGTACTTATCACCATCCATAGTCGTCTAACCCTTTTGTAAGAGAAAACTTATTTGATGCTTTAAAACTCTTTTCTCAGCTTGAAGAAGAACAGAACTTTTGCTCTTCTGATGACCCACTATGCTGTGCAAAAATGATTTGGCAAGTGCAGCTGCAAACATGTCTCTAGTATCACACACACACATCTATGGAAAATTCCAGTCAGGTTTTAGAACCAGTCACGGTATATTTTTCTGAGGATCAGTAATGATTTGCTGAAGATCAGTAATGCTCTCTACATTCTAGCTGACACAGGCACAATCTCTGTGCTTATTATACTTCATTTGTTAGCTCTTTATGACACAGTTCTTCATGGGATTTCTTAGGAATACTTAAAGTATTTATATACCATTTTGAAAACTGCTCCTGTATATATCCTTCCATTTCTTAACCAACATTTTAAAATTGATATTATAAATAATTAAATCTAGGAAGATTATCAGGAACATTCTTTTCTACTTTGCTTCATTTGAATCTCTATGACCTTTAAGATTCTCATATGTTCCCATCAGATATTTCCCATTGTCACTGTTTTCATGGGTCAGGACTATGAGATGATTGGCAAGTTAATTAGCCTTTTCATTTCTTTCTCTCTTGATTGAAAGTGATTTGTTAGAGACTGTGAGTTTTGGTATTTTTCAAAGCTCACTGGTGCAGAGATAATATTGGAATTCAGTCTAAGAGAAACATTTTGTTAATTGTTCTCGTTTTCTTTTAAAACAGAAAAGAGATTGGTCTACTGCACTGCTACTTCGGTTTCACTAAGGGTATTGCAAAGGATCTGGATTAAATTGGCACTAATCCAATTTTTCTATTGAAGGTACTTTGCATTCTATAAAATAAAGTTCACACCCCAGGAGAAATTTAGTTTAACCTCTCATCTGTTGATTCATGATATTTGATTCACTGAGATTACTCCCACTTATACTGTTTTGGAAAAAGAAAATTGTTTGCCAAGTCCTTGGTTAAATATTTACTTTCTATTTCATAGTTTGTCGTTTATCTTCTAACTAATCAGATTTCCTTCTGCCATGTAGAATTATTTAATTTCTATTAAGTTATACCCACTCTCCTTTCAATTATCACATATCAATTTGAAGTCCTGCTTTGGGAAAGATTTCTTTATACCAAAAATATAACTCCTTATGCTATTTTACATTTTTCTAGGTAATTTTTATTACATTAGAGTATTATCATATTATATATATATATGGAAAAGTTTTCAGGTCACAGATTGCCAGGTTAGTAGGATTAGGACATCAAAATCCGTGGTCATTCAGGTCTCTCCTTTCAAAGACAATAGGTGTTTGGTCACTGTTATTTTATGCCTAATATCCTTCTCGGGTCTTTTGGTCACTTAGTAAATATTCATATTACATTTCATTGAAATATATGTTTAAAGAGTTAAACAGAAAAAGCAAAACAAATCAGCAGCAAATAAGCCAAAAGTTCTTATAGCAGAGGCAAAACTCTAATAATCTTTAAATGAAGTTTCAGAAAAAAAATCAATGACCATCATAATGTTAAACCTACAGACTGAAGAAACAAAATGTGCAACCAAAGACATAGTAAAGATAATATAAATATAACGAAGTAAATGTGACATTGACCAAGAAAATCTTCATATTAAAGGGAGTCTCCATGGTCTTCATGGAACTAAATTCAAAACAAGTAAAACTCCTGGAGATTGGTACAAAATTGAAATGAAGTGAGACATTTTCCCAAGACATAGAAGTGATTACTTAGCTATATTTTTTTTGTTTTTTGCTTTTTGGGTCACACCCGGTGATGCACAGGGGTTACACCTGTCTCTGCACTCAGGAGTTACCCCTGGCAGTGCTGGAGACCATATGGGATGCTGGGAATTGAACCCAGGTCGACCGTATGCAAAGCAAACACCCTACCCACTGTGCTATTGCTCTAGCCCCAGCTATAATTCTTATACCAGATATCTTCCCCCTTTAGCTACTCTTCTTTTAAAACTTTATGATGTAAATATTTCTTTTGGTACTCTCCCATATATGTCAAATATTTTCATTTTTTAGTATTTTTCCTCTTCTTTATTGATGTTATTCTCTACATTGTCATGAAGATCACTTATTTGAGTACCAGCTTCTACTATCTTTTAAACCACACTAATGTGCAGGGAAGGCAAATTATTTCAAAAACTGGGAAACAACCTTAGAATGGATTCTATCATTCAAAGCCAAGAGCAGAAGTAGATTAGGTGATATATGCCTTCAGCAGATCATACAAACTAGCCCTCCTAAGCCATAAGTGACTGACTGCAGGTTCTGCTGGTAACTCCTAAACTTAAGTCCCGAGTTGATTCCCAGTGTTGAAGGTTGTTAACACCATAACACTGCCAGGGAACAGTCACTTTATACTCTGTAATGTAGCACTGGTCTGGCTACTCTTAGGGACACAGCTATCATAGAAGTTGGTGACTGCCGGCTCCCAGCTCCCACTGCTATAGGGCTCATGTGCCATCACATAGTATGGAAGAAGCATAAGGAAGAAATGGATGGTAGACACATTGACAGATGGAGACAAAAATATAAGAAGATGGACTGTAGAGATGGTATAGGGTTTAAAAGTGCTTTCCTGAGCTCGCTTTGGCAGCACATGTACTATAATTGGAACTACACCGAGAAGATTAGTATGGCCACTGTTCAAGGATGACCTACAAATTCATGAAGTATTTCATATGTTTTTAAGAAAATCACATATGAAGGAGAAGGAGCATCCCTTAGATTTACAGGAGACTTATCAGACAAAGCCATCCAAGTCTGAAGACAGTGGTGGAATATAGTGAAAAAATTCAATGAAATGAACACCTCATCAAGAATACTTTATTTAGCTAGACTCTCATTCAGACTCAAAGGAAAAATATACTTCGTGGATAAACAACAGCTCAGGAAATTCATAGACTCAAAACCAACCTTAAAAGAAGGGCTGAAGGGGCTACTATAAGACAAGACAAATCCCAGAAACACAAAAAAAATTATACAGAAAAATGGCTAAAAATTCTATGACAATAATTTCAGTGTCAATGGACTAAATGCACCATATAAGAGACACAGAGTGGCAAAATGGATTTAAAAAACTGAATGCAACATTCTGTTGCCTACAAGAAACATATCTGATCAATGAGAGCAAACATAGACTCAAAGTTAAAGGATGTACGACAATCCTTCAAGCAAACAAATCCCTCAAAAAAGCCAGGGTGGCCATACTAGTATCCTATAAGATAAATTTCAGGCTGAAAAAGATTTGAAGGGACAGCAAAGGCCATTTTTTAATAATCAAGAGATATGTATATCAGGAAGAAATTACCCTCCTAAACATACATGCACCCAATGAGGGGCCAGCAAAATACGTAAAATAACTGCTAAGGCACTTCAAGGAGGGCATTGGTAGCAGCAAAATAGTAGTGTGAGATTTTAACATACCCTTATCACATCTTGATAGACCAAAAGGATTAAAACTCAGAAAGAAAGTACTGAATCTAAAGGGAGAAATGGAAGAGAGAGGACTAATAGTTATATAGAGGGCATTCCATCCACCCAAAGCTGAATACACATTCTTTTTCATTACACAAGGGCCATTTTTCAAGATAGAACACATGCTGGGACACAAAATATACCTCAATAGAATCAGGAAGATAGTAACTGTATCAACTATCTTTTCAGGCCACGATGCACTGAAGATAGAAGTTAATCTCTCTCTCACACACACACACACACACACACACACACACACACACAGAAAATGGAGAATCAAATCAAACACCTGTAAGTTAAACAGCTCAATATTGAACAACCAGTGGATTAGAAAGGATATCAAGGAAGAACTTACAAGATTCCTGGAAACAAACAAGAATGAAGACACAAGCAACCAGAACTTGTGGGACACAGGTAAAGTCGTGTTAGGAGAAAAATTATAGCTCTGTTAGCGCTTGTCTGAAGAAAGGGTCCTCATTAAAAAGAAATTGACTTCATGGCTTAAGATCTTAGAGATAAATCAACAGAAGGAGCCTAAGCTGGGCAGGAGGAAAGTAATAATAAAACTTAGAGCACAAATCAATGAGTTGGAAGCCCAAAAAATAATACAAAAGATCAATGAAACCAAGAGCAGGTTCTTTGAAAAAATAAAAAAGATTAATAAACCAATAGCAAGATTCACAAAGGAAGAGAGTGAGAGAGACATAATAAGCCAAATCAGAAATGAAAAGGGGAACATCACAACAGAAACCACAGACATTCAAACGATTATCAGAGATTACTTTGAATGACTGTATGTCATGAAACAAGTGAACCTAGAAGAAACAGATGAATTCCTGGATTCCTATAACCTCCCAAGGCTGAATAAAAAAAAAAAAAACTTGGAATACCTGAATAGACCTATCACTATCAAGGAAATTGAAACAGCAATCAAAAGTCTTTCCAAAAACAAAAGCCCAGGTTCAGATGTATGCACTACTGAATTTTTTCAAACATTTAAAGAGGACGAATTGCCAGTTCCTTTCAAGCTTTTACAAGAAAATTAAGAAACAGAAACTCTCCCAAACAGTTTCTATGAGGCACATATCACTCTGATACCAAAAGCAGACAGAGACATCACAAAAACGGACAATTACTGGCTGATATCCCTGATGAATACCGAGGGCAAAGCACTGTAGCACTCTCCTCCCATTGTTCATCGATTTACTCAAGCAGACCCAGTAATGTCTTCATTGTGAGACCTGCTGTTACTGTGTTTGGCATATTGAATACATTACGGGTAGCTTGCCAGGCTCTGCCGTGCGAGTGAGATACTCTCAGTAACTCGCTGGGCTGTCCAAGAGGGATGGAAGAATCGAACCCGGCTCTGCCAGGCTGGACTTGTGCAAGGCAAATGCCCTACCACTTTGCTATTACACCTCAATAAAATATTACAAATAGAATCCAATGACTTATCAAAAAGATCATACACATGACCAAGTAGGATTCATCCTGGGGATGCAATGATGGTTTAACAATTGCAAATCAATAAACATAATTCATGTCAATAAAAGACAAGATAAAATCCATATGATCATATTAATAGATGCAAAGAAATTATTTGACAAGATCCAGCACCAATTTATGATGATAACTCTCAGAAAAATGGAAGTTGAATGAACCTTCCTCAATATAGTCAAAGCCATCTAACACATACCTAGGGCAAGCATTATTTTCAATGGGGAAAAAAACTAAAAGCCTTTCCTCCAAGATCAGGAACAAGACAAGAATGCCAACACTCACCACCTCTATTCAGTATAATACAGGAAGAACTTGCCATAGCATTTAGGGAGGAAAAAGATATTAATGGCATTCAGATAGGAAAGGAAGAAATCAAGTTCTTACGATTTGCAGATGATATGATACTATACTTAGGAACCCCAAAGCCTCCAAAAAGAAGCTCCTAGAAACAATACATTTGCACTGAAAAGTGACAGGTTAACAAAATCAATACCTCAAAGTCCATGCTTTCCTATTTGCAAATAATAAAAGAGAAGAAAGTGATAAGAAAAAATACCTTTCACAAGCATGTCTCAAAAAATCATGTCTCTCAGAATCAGCTTAACTAAGGAGATAAAGGACCTGTAAAAAGAAAACTACTAAATGATACTTTAAGAAATAAATAGAGAGGGCTGGAGATATAGTACAGCGGGTAGGGTATCTGCCTTGCATGCTATTGACCCAGGTTTGATTCCCATCATCCCATATAGTCCCCTGAGCATCACTGGGAGTAATTCCTGAGTGCAGAGCCAGGAGTAAAACCTGTGCATCGCCAGGTTGACTGAAAAAGAAAGAAAAAGAAAAAGAACTAGAGACACATCCTCTCTCATGGATTGGGAGAAATAATATTCTCAAAATTGCAATACTCCTCAAAGAATTATTTGTATTCAATGTGATCCCTATAAAGAATAGCCATGACATTTCTCATAGAAGTTGATCAAAAACTCCTGAAGTTAGTATGGAAAAATAAACCCCCATGAATAGTTAAAGCAATTCTTGGGGGAAAAAAACGTATGGGAGGCATCATCTTTGCCAACTTTTAACTGTACTACAAAGAGGTAATAATTAAAACAGCATGGTATTGGAATAAAGACAAACCTGCAAACCAATTAAATAGGCTTGAATATCCTGACACTCACTCTCAAATACATGACCATTTAATCTTGATAAGGCAGCAAGAAATACGAAGAGTAGCAAGGATAGTCTTTTTAACAAATGTTGCTGAAAAAACTGGACCTCTATGAACAAAAATAACAGACTCAGACCTCTACCTAACACCATGCACAAAAGTCAGATCAAAATGGATAAAAGACCTCAACATCAGACCAGAATCTATAAGGTACAGAGAGGAAAACGTAGGCAGAATCTTCCATGATATTGAAAACAAAGTTATCTTCAAAGATGAAATGCCACTGACCAAGCAAGTGGATGCAAAGATAAACAAATGGGACTACCTTAAACTAAGGAGCTTCTGCACCTCAAAAGAAACAGTGACCAAGAAACAAGCAATTGACCAAGTCTACAGAATGGGAAAGCATATTCACTCAATGCATTTCTGGTAAGGGTTAATGTCAGTGATATACAAGATACTGGTTTAACTCTATAAGAAAAATCATCCAACCCTGTCAGAAAATGGGGCAATGAAATGAACAGAAGCTTTCTCAAGGAAGACATTCAAATGGCCAAAAAGCAAATGAAAAATCCTCTTCATCACTAATCATTAGGAAGATGCAGATCAAAACAACAGTGAGATATCATCTTACACCACAGAGACTGGCACACATCCAAAAGAACAAGAACAACCAGTGCTGGCGTGCATATGGAGAGAATAGGACTCTCCTTCATTGTTGGTAAGAATGTCGACTGAACCAGACATTTTGGAAAACAATATGGACGTTTCTCACAAGAGAAGAAATTGAGCTCCCATTTGACCCAGCAATACCACTTCTGGGAGTATATCCAGAAGGCCCAAAAAAACACAGCAGAAACATCATCTGCGCTCCTATATTCATTGCAACACTATTCACATCCAAAATCTGGAAACAACCTGAGTGTCAGATAATAGACGGATGGATAAAGAAACTAATGGGTTTGTAGAAACTACAAACTATGAACTACAATGAATAAAGCACATCTATAAAATGGAATACTTTTCAGCTTTTAGGAAAAATGAAGTCGTGAAATTTGCCTATAAACAGATGGACATTGAGAGTATTGTGCTAAGTGAAATGAGTCAGAAGGAGAGGGACAGGTATAGAATAACTGTATTCATTTTGTATATATATATATATATATATATATATATATATATATATATATATATAGTAAAGGTAAAGGCCCTCCCGTTGATCGTCGATTTGCTCGAGCGGGCCCAGTAACGTCTCCATTGGAGACTTTGTTGTTACTGTGTCTGGCATATCGAATACTCTCGGTAGCTTGCCGGGCTCTCCGAGAGGGACGGAGGAATCGAACTCCGGTCGGCCATGTTGGCCGCGTGTAAGGCGAACGCCCTACCCGCTGTGCTATCACAATAGCACAGCGGGTAGGGCGTCTGCCTTGCACGCAGCCAACATGGCCGACCCGAGTTTGATTCCTCCGCCCCTCTCGGATAGCCCGGCAAGCTACCGAGAGTATCTCGCCCGCACGGCAGAGCCTGGCAAGCTCCCCGTGA